CTCACCACGGTCGGCATCACGACTATCTTGGTCTTTAGCTCATCCGGTACAATAACAACCCATCACAATGCACACTAACCATTCGACGTAATGCCTAAGCACAATGCCCAAACCTTGCACGGCTAAGCCTCATAGCAGTGGCCACCAGCTATTCGACTTAATGTCCCAACTGCAGCGCCCACGGCAACGACACCATTGGACCCTCTCCATCTACAACGCTCACGGCAACGACTCCATCTTCAGCGCCCACGGCAGCGGCACCGCCGGACCATTCTCCATCTACAGCGCCCACTGCAGCGACACCGCTGGACCGTCCCGATTGCAGCGCCCACAGACCCTCTCCATCTGTAGCTCCCATGACAGCAATATCGCTGGACCATCCCAACTGCTGCGACACCTTTTGACAAAACAACACAACACAACGACTTCGCCAAACAACACAACACAACGACTTTGCCACCTACAATTCCAACCGATGTGCTCCAATTCAACCGCCCCTCGCCAAAACCACATCAACAACAATCTAGCTCATCTTATCCAAACTCTCTCTTCTCTACCAACTGTGGTTGACAAGGGGTGTTAACTATTATAGTTAGGCACTATTGTGTTTCTTTATTTAGTCCCACATCGTTTAGGGATGTAGAACCTCTCTCCTTGCCATTGTATTTAAACACTTTAATGCAATGATTAATATAATCAAGTTCTCTCAAATCTCTGTACTTGTCACAAACACCTTTGATATAGACTTTGTTGCATCGTGAAAAATGCCAACAAACTCGTAAATTCTCCCCAATCCTAATTGTTGTCCCTTTCTACAATGCAACAAGCCCAAATGCCCAACTTCTTGCTATATCAAGCAACACCTCATTAATCTTTGCCGAGTATCCAGCCAGCCTTAGCCTCCTCGATGTCTCTCCGAACATATCCTTAATCTTTTTATATCTTGGATGAGATTGATGACCAACGGAAAATTCATGTACTTCACCTTTAATATCTAAAACACTATAGCCTGGTTCCTTCTTTACTCCTCTTCCCTTCATTAACTCGCGAACATTATTAATCCCTTTTCAATGTCTCGAACCTGCATAAATGTTTGAGAGTTGCACACAAGCACCATGGTTTCTCGATTTGAGCTCGGTGATTTTTTTCGTGGCGAGCTTGCCTAAGTACTCGATGTTCTTGCATATTTTACAAGCATTGAGCAAAGCTCGGCATGCACCTGAACGAAGCTTAATAGGTGTCGCTTTGATAACATTACAAACAGTACTTAATCTCCCTGCTCCCCCATAGAAATCAACTAGGCAAATATAATACTGCGCCCAAGGCTCAGTGATATAGCAAGCGTAGATGATAAAGGATCCATTCCTTAACTTTTCCATATGGGAGCTGGATAAGGGGATCTGATTCTAGGTTTTGGGAGGATAAGTAACAAAGAAATAACACTCTAGCTAGTCTTAATTATCTTGGTCCAAGAATGTATTAACCAAATCACAGGCCATCAAAATTTTGGAGAATGGGAAATGGCACCCACAGATGAAAAGAGATATCCACTCTAGCGCCAAGAAGGAGAAAATTTCCTTACTGAAATTGCTAGACCCTGTTCAACCCTCTGCAAATGGTGATGTAGTTTCCCAGTCCTTGCACAATTCAGGAAATTCTACAGACAATTCATTAACCAAAGTTTTGTGTTCCGGTGGCTTAAGATGCAGATACTGCAGTTTAATTTGGAGTTTCACAACACCCACAAAAGCCAAAATAATCTTCGAAGAACAGATTGGCGAGAAAGGGCGGAATGGTGATATGAGATGTGTTTTTCTGTAACTACTCTCATATGTGGGTCCCACTATATATTTTTCTAAAATTCCAATAATAACCTTCCACTTATAACTTTCATGTAAGTGGGCCCCCCTCAAATAAAATAAAATAAAATGTAGAGAGAGAAAGACAGAGAGGAGAAAACCGGCGGGAAATTTCCCTCCTCCCCTCTCTCTCCGTCTTCTATCTCTCTCCGCCTCTTCTTCTCCCTTTCTCTCACCACATTAATATAACCGAACACTCTCTCATTTAACCCATCATTTAATAATTCTCTCCTATAACCCAGCAATTATTTCTCACCAACTTTCTTAGCATTTGAAGGTACAAACTTGCAATTTACTCAACTATCAAGTTTATAGCATTAATTTCTCATTTTAATCATGATAATTATTTGATATGTTAGTTAAATGAGTTCATAAAAATTATTAAATTCGTCAATTTTGGTAAAATGTTAGAAATGTAGTTCATATTGTTATTAATATTAAGTGTCTATCTTTTGTGAAATTTTTCTCTAAATTTGTTTATTTTTGGTGATAAATATAGATGGATGAAGAATTGTATTGTGCATTGACGGATTTTAGAGGACACAATCACTTTTTAGAATTAAATGTCAACGGGGGTTACAAAGATTTGGTCGTTGCAGTGCAAAGCCTAATTGCTTGTAGTGCAAGCACGATACAGTTGACTTATAAAGTACCCCACACGCAAGAAATTTATGTTCGTGTATGTGATGATGCTGATGTCTCGATAATGGTCAATGTATATCGAAGTTGCAAGGAGAATATTGTTGTTATGAACGCTGAGATGAATCGAGACATATTATTTGGGATACACGCTAATAATGTCCATATAAGGTAATTTACACTTTTGATATAGTTTCGTACTTTTAACATTATCACTTTCTTAACTCTTGTACAATTTTCTATGCAGTAATCCGTATATCCCCTCTAGTGACGAACATGTGTCTCATTCACAAAATCCATCGTATTCACAAAATATGTCTCGGGAAGTTGAGAGCTCTAATATGATTCCTATTGCATGGCACAATGCTATTAGAAGTGTTGGTCAAGAATTTGATGATGTTGAGCATTGTCGGCGGAGTTTAAGTAATTACTCTATTGCACGAGGATTTAACTTTGAATTTGTAAAAAATGAACGCAAAAGGGTGACAGCAAAATGTAAGGCCGCAAATTGCGAGTGGATGGTTCATTGCACCCGTCGTAGAGATAGTGATCGATTCTATGTGAAAAAAATATGTAGTTCTCATAGTTGCTTGGGAGGAGGCATAGGAAAGGAAGGATATCAACGGGCATCTTGTAAGTGGAATGCTAATCAACTCAAGACCATATTGAAGGAACAACTCACTTATCGCCCAATTGATTTCCAAAAGAAGCTTAAAATGGAATTTGGTTTGGACGTCCCTTATCATAGAATTTGGTGGGGAAAAGAGCTAGCTCAACGTGAATTGTATGGTGATACTAAATTTTCATATGACCAACTCCGATGGTATAAGGATAAAGTTATAGAAACCAATCCGGGATCAATTGTTCACTTAGAGCATGAAGACGGAAGATTTACACGAGTATTTGTGTCTTATTATGCTTGTTGGAAAGGGTTTATGGAGGGATGTAGACCAATATTGTTCTTGGATGGTACACATCTTTTTGATAGGTATGTTAGAGTTCAATCTAATAAAAACTTGCATTAATGTACTACTTCATATATTTTATACTTTGTTTCATGATTGTTCTTTTCTTTTATAGGTATAAAGGAACCTTACTTGCCGCAACTGCACTGAATGGAGATGGTGGAATGTTCCCTGTAGCAATTTGCATATGCGTCACGGAAAATGAGAGTAATTGGGAATGGTTTTTAGAATGCATTCGAGACATTCTCTTCACTGATGAAGATCCATATACTCCAGATGATGAACTGGTGTTAATCTCTGATAGGGACAAAGGACTTCAGAATTCCGTGAAGAAATGCTTTCCATGGTCACATCACTCTTATTGTATTCGTCATCTTTTGGCTAATTTTAAGAATAACTTATCGAAAAAAGGCATTACACCACCTTTACGAGATGAATGTGTGCAAATTATGAAGAGGGCCGCTTATGCATACACTTCTCGTGCCTATAACAATGAATGCAACGAGCTACGGAACAAATCAGAGATCGCCTATTATGAAATGTTGAGGATGAGTCCAGAAAATTGGGCTAATTGTTATTTTCCTGGGAAGAGGTAAAATTTTATTTTTTTTTTTAAATTTTAAATGCAAACCTTCAAGATATATGTACCTGCTATACTTACTATTTATTGACATGCATGTAGATATGGATGGTTGACATCAAACGTAGCGGAGTCATTCAATTCTTGGATCAAAGAAGCTCGTTATTTGCCAATTACCCAAACAATTGATAACATTCGCAAGAAAATGATGAGGATGAGTTTTGAAAGGCGGGAGGCATCCCACAAGTGGACCACAACATTTGTTCCCACTGTGGAAGAGCACCTTATTCAGATTAATGAGCAATCACGTTGTCTTTCTGCAATTCCTTCTACTACCGGAAGGTACGAGGTGTATGATTTTCCCACCGTTGAAGTAGATTTGAATGAACGCACATGCACTTGTCGTGAATGGCAAGTTGTCGGGCTACCTTGCAAACATGCGGCGACGGCTATTCGACAGAATATGGACACCCTTTACTCCTATATTTCCCACTACTTTAGTGCGGAGACATACCGCAAATGCTACTCCTTTCCGATATACCCAATTCCTGACGATGACAAGCCATGTTAACGTGCTATACTTACAGGTTAACGTGCTATACTTACAGGTTAACGTGCTATACTTACAGGTTAACGTGCTATACTTACAGGTTAACGTGCTATACTTACAGGTTAACGTGCTATACTTACAGGTTAACGTGCTATACTTACAGGTTAACGTGCTATACTTACAGGTTAACGTGCTATACTTACAGGTTAACGTGCTATACTTACAGCTTAACGTGCTATAGTTACAGATTAACGTGCTATAGTTACAGATTAACGCGCTATACTTACAGATTAACGCGCTATACTTACAGGTTAACGTGCTATACTTACAGGTTAACGTGCTATACTTACAGGTTAACGTGCTATACTTTCGAATTAAAGTGCTATACTTACAGCTTAACGTGCTATACTTTCATATTAATGTTTTATACTTACAGGTTAACGTGGTAAACTTACAGATTAACGTGTTATACTCTCAATATAACGTGCTATACCCTTAATGTAACGTGCTATACCTACAAATTAACGTGCTATACTTAAAGGTTAACGTGCTATACTTTCATATTAACGTGCTATACTTACAGGTTAACGTGCTATACTTACAGGTTAACGTGCTATACTTTCATATTAACGTGCTATACTTACAGGTTAACGTGCTATACTTTTGAATTAACGTGCTATACTTTCGATATATCGTGCTATACTCTCAATATAACGTGTTATACTCTCAATATAACGTGCTATACCCTTAATGTAATGTGCTATA